TTACCTTGTTCGAGTCACCATTCAGAATCCAGGTAAACATACAAATGACATGCAACGCACCCAAAACTTGCCAGTGTGTGTGTGTGTAATGTAGCTGCAACGTCAATTCCATATGAACAATCGCAAAAATGGATCTGAGTACAGCTTTGTAGGCAGTTTACAATTATTTTGGGAAAAAAGAAAGGCTATTGCTTTTAGCATGAGTTCATCAACTAAGTTTAAAATCCGACAAATAGTTAAAAGAATTGATGAGAATGAGCATATGCACGTATTACCCACTTTTTTTCTAAGAACTTTTTATTATTTAGGCTACCAGATTTAGTTTTACATAATTGCATTCTTAACCAACTTCGTAAGTTATCAAGCTGGAGAAATCCTTTCCCCTAATGATCACTTCACCAAAAGATTTCGAGAAAACTATTTGCAATGTTTTCTACACAGACAAGAGGAAAGCAAGCTGGACAATAATAATATGAGAACAAAATAAAAATAGCAGATTTGTTTCTCCGCAACATAGTTACGTTTTCTCGTTAACGCTCTTTCATTCCATTATTTTTGGAACCTGGCAAGAGGAAAAATAATAATGTATCTTGATATTCATGTTCAGACGCAACAAGAGCAAAAATTATGCTCGTTCTTTCTAACTTCATTATCTCTGGTAGATGCTGCTAATTCGGTAACTTGTGAGCAGGGAATTACGAGGACATGAAGGAGCTCCTGAATGAAGAAGAGATAAGCCAATTAGAGAGTGTGGTGGTGGCAAAGATGGGAGATGTAGAAAGTCTCTGTGATGCTTTTAGAGGTTGCCATGGAATTTTTCACACCTCCGCTTTCATTGATCCGCGTGGAATATCTGGTTATACGGTTAGTTCTTTTGTCTTTTCTTTTTTTTTCTTCCTCTCCTTCTTCGAGCAAAAAACGGCTATTGATCAGCACCACTGAAGTTTGATTGAATTTCTAATGGAAGTAAAACACGTCTTTTTGGTAGTACTACACAACAACATTTTCTTTCTATGTTAAAGAAAGAAAGAAAAAAAAAAGAATCACTTTGAACATTTTAGGAACGAATGGCATTTCTTGAGGCAGAAGGAGCAAGAAATGTGATTGAAGCTTGCGGTAGAGCTGCATACTCGAAAAGATGCATCTTCACCTCTTCCCTTCTCGCAACTTTCTGGAAGGGTGACGAAAATGACACTGGACAAGTCAAAGTAGATGAGGGTTGTTGGAGTGATGAGGACTTCTGTAGAGAAAACAAGGTACTAGTTAATTTAGCTACCTCGCTTGATTCGTCACTAATTTCATCCAGAAAGGGTTTTAATTAATCTTTAAGCGTGACCCCCATTTATATCAAGAACAGCTATGGCTTGCCTTGGGTAAAACAAGAGCTGAGAAGGTTGCTTGGAGGAAGGCACGAGAACTGAAGGTCAATCTCGTTACCCTCTGCCCCAGCCTCCTGATGGCTCCATCATTCCCAAATGCTCTTGTTGAAACCTCGATTCCTTACCTTAAAGGTAAATATATATACCACGCGGCGGTTGACTAAATTAACAGTATGGTTTATGTTTAGTTAGATAGCTCTCCTAATTGAAATGTACTTCAATCTCTTGATTTCGTCTCAATAAGGTGGGCAAATCATGTTTCGACGAGGCGTTTTAGCGACTGAAGATGTGAATGAGATGGCAGAGACACATGCGGGCGTTTACCAGGACATGGATTATGGGGCTTGTGGACGATATATTTGCTATGGAAAAATAATTACAAGATTAGAAGAGGCCATTCAACTTGAGAGTAGCTTGAAGATGCATGGCCTGCTGTCTGGAGAAACTGCAGGTCAACTAGTCTCTGGGGAAGCTGACGGGATCCCTCCTAACCTTACTAACTCCAAGCTCACCAAACTGTTGGACCGTGCTTCCCGGCGGGTATCTTGCCATCCGTCCCAATCACTTCTAACTTCTAAGTTCCTAACCTAACTCCTCTGGTACAAAGGATTGTAACGTATTCTCCTATACGTTCGAGGAGAACCTGTACAGTAGTTAATTTTCCTTGGCAGAGCCGTAGAACCCTGCATGAGGAGGGGCTTCGGGTTCCCCCCGAATCAGCATTCATGAATACAAGTCCATGATGGAAATTTAAGTGTTACCTCATTTTATTATTCTACTAGGGGGAAAAGCCCACGCAACGTGTGGGAGTTTAGTGCCTATAATTAAAGATGATTTATAATTATTATTTGGCATTTTCTAGTATAAGGATTGAAGTATGACAATTTTTATTATGTGATATTAAATAAAAAAAATCATAAGTTACATATTGAATTAAAAATATATAATATGCAATAAAACATAATTATAAGATACGATCAACTATTTTGCATCTAATCTAGTATAATAAAAGACCTATTTATATCTGCTCATGCACTTTAGAGATATTAAAATTTGTTGTTTAGTTTGAATTTGATCTTGATATGAGGGCAATCCACCACATTATCTTGTCATATAAGTGAGATTTGAACAATTAGCATACTTGAAGAAATCATTGCTCGTGAAATTTCGGTTCTTGCAAGCCAAAATCTTGAATTTATATTGATTCCAAGGATATATATCATCACGAGGCCTTCACATTGAGCAAGCAATTAATTATAATTTATTGTATGATTTAGGACATATAGCAAAGCATCTCCTTCTCGATAGGGGTTACAATCACGAAATATTAGTTTTGTGTTAGTTGCAAAGATATACAACAACTAACATGCTAATTTAGAGGAATAATTACCTCAAAAAAGTACTAAAGCATCTTAATCCACTCAATTTAAGAAAAATAATTAAAAGTAATGAGATACATACTTTAGATTTGTAGCCAAATAGTTTTAAGTAGATAGTTAAACATATTGGCAAATCAGATGAAGTGAAAAATTGTCTAAATGGAATAGTCAATAAAGTAGCAAACGATTTGAAAATCACCCTAACTAATAGTTAAAACAACAAAAGAAGTAGATGCAATCTATAAATGGGAAAATTTATGATGATAAACTTATTTTAAACCATAAATAACAATTAACAAATGTGGTCTCTTTCTTATCAAGCTTGTCTAACATGGGCAATTGAATTAAAATACTAAAAAATTATTGTATATACAACTTACAATATTACAGATTTTTACAACAAAAAGTAGATTGGTTAAAGAAAACATACCTATTGAAAAAGGTATTACAAAATAGGGAAGAATAGTAGCTAATGTAACAACATCCGAATTCAATATGCTGCATGACTGTGGTGGAACAAAACCTATAAGCAAATGAAATGAATTTGAATAGATGGGGGTTACTATAATAACGGCCAAAAAATCAGAATTCTCTACTAATTGATATTAATTGTGTCTTAACATCTATATATCATAACTTTGCAAATAACTGATGAGAAAGGCTTTAAGAAATTAAAAGACTTAGATGTTAATACAATTAAATGATTAGAATGGCTTTTATGTAATTTCACTAAAACACAAGATGAATTCAGTTGTACCCAATGTTTAATCGGATATCAAATAATGTCACATATCAAACTCACCCCTAGCTTTAAATGTTTAAAAGGACATCCAAGTAATTACAACAAAACTAAATTAGTTACAATGACTCATATTCAATACTCTAATTGCACTTCAAACACTCTCACATTTCCAAAAAAACCCCACCCTTGCGGTTGAAATTCAAGCCCTAAACTCATTCTTATATAGTATAAGGATTCTATTAGGAGAAATCACCTCATTTTATTCTACTATTTCTTCAACCATCGATAAAATAATGATCTTGCAATGGTCTTTCCAGCTTTAGCCCTCGGTGAAATAAAATGATTTCAAATTTTGTAATTTTTTTTTTTTAAAAAAGTTGAGACCCCAGGAATTAGAGATTTTTATTCGAAAATCCTTTTTTCCCCTCCCCAGCTCCCGCTTCTTAAATTTCACATTTTTCTTGCTTAACAAAAGTGAAATCAATGAAAACTAAATGAGTGAAAACGCACTGAAATTATCGTTTCTCCATCGTAATTAAAGAATGAAGCCTCACAAAAGCACGAGAAGAAAAAACCTCTATGAAGCCTCCTCCCTTTTTTTTCCATCTCCATTGTCATTGTGAAAGGCCCCTCGGTCCACTACCGACTGTTCCAATATGATAGAAGAGGGACTTGTCACTTTGCAAGTTGTAACATAAAGAGCTCCGCATTAGAATATAAAACGAAACAAAGGGTGAGCTGCGGCACATTTGCATTTTCATTATAGGATTGGAAGAACGTCATGGCAGAAAATGGACTAGACTTCTACCCATTACATTTCATTTGAGAGGATTTCTCTGTATTACACTCCAATAAATTTAATTAAAAATATTTTCAAAAATCACACCGTTCATAATATATTTCATTATTGGTATTAGTCGTACGTAAAATTTCATGTGAAATTGATTAAGTTTTACCCTCTGATCAATGATTAAAATTTTGTTATAATTTTGACACATTTTCACCATTCAAATGTTTCATGAAAATTGAATGCCAAAGTATTCATAAAAGAATATTATTTTTTAGTATGTTGACCTAGAGATCAAAGAAAAAGTGATGATACAATCGGATGAATTTATGAAGTTATAAACTTTCTCGTCGAGGGCTACTTAAGTTTTTCCTCTGTTTTTTTTTCCCTCTATTTTGGATAGGTACCATTTTTTTTTAATCGTGATGGAGAAAACATATAGTCCCCATACCAAAGCCAAGTTCCAATTCTGCTTGGTCATTGTCACTCTATCTAATCCCAAGCGAGTGCTACATGTTGATTGTTGAGGGACCAAATTACTTCATGGGTTAAAATATGAAGAGCCTAAAAAGAATTTGTGAGAACGTGAGGGACTACTTTTAGCAATTCGCAAATGGAATTTTAGAAAAGTTACCTAGTAGTACTAATGGGGTTGAAGTGCAAGATTCCCTTCCCCTTGCTGGAAACGTGAAACTAGTTGGGTTCCGGCCGATAAAGTAAAAGAAAAAGAGCAATAATTGCAAGTAAAAGGTAGAAAAACATCGGAAGACTCGCCGAAACAAAGAAGAGGAAAAAAAGAGGGTAAAGAGAGACGGAAAGAGGGGAGGAGGAGATGGGAGAAGAGGAGGATCCACAGAAATTGAAGAGAATAGCGGCGGCGGCATACGACTACGACAACGACCCTAGATGGGCGGACTATTGGTCCAACGTCCTCATCCCGCCCCACATGGCCTCCCGCCCCGACGTCGTTGAACACTTCAAGCGCAAGTTCTACCAGCGCTACATCGTAAATGAATCCACTACTAATTTGCTTCTTCTCTCACACTTGCTCACTTGCCCTTTCCCTCAGTACTCTTCTTATATCTGAAATTGTATTTCTTGAAATCCATAAATTTTTCTTCAGCTTGCAATTTATTCCTGCTGTTTATCCCCATAAACGAGAATATGTGATTCAATCTCACGTTCGGGTTACGGTAATATGTCTATAGATATTAGGTTTTCTTTATTGATTTATGTTTCAATCGGATTAGCTTCCTCCTCTAGGGAGTTTCTTGAGGATTTTAAGTTTTTCTTTTCTTTTTTTTTGGATTTCTTCCTAGCTCGATGGGATATTCTGTGATGGGCAGTTTGGCTTTCTTCAAATTTTCTTCAGTTTCGTTCTTTATCTGGGTTACGCTCTATGCGGCAGGATCACTGCTCTTGCTTCAGCATTCTCATCCGTTTTTATCTATTTTGACCTCACTTGGTGCATTGTCAGATTGTTCTTTTCCGCACTTCTTTTTCCCTCTCTCTTCTTCTTTTATATCATGTTTCACTCTGTAAACAGCTTAGCGACGTTGGCGTTTGGCGTTGTAACATGCGTTGTGCTTTTAAGGTGGGAAATTAGAATTGAAGCGTCGTGGTATTTCCAGTGGCATGAAAAATCATGCTTAGTGAGCTGATGTTTATTATCTTCCAACTTAATAGTTTACTTTTTGTGTCTACCAAGAAAATGGTAATGTGATGAAACTTTAGCAATGAAGTGTAGTTTATGGGCCGTTGGTCGAGGAATGCTTTCTTCCTTTGGATGTGGACAATGTGACCGCATTTTGAATTTAATTATAAGCTCATGAATTCAGACTAATTGCATATTATGTGCCTTTGTTGCATGTTGGCAGTTAGACCTTTGTATACCGTGTTTATAAATATTTTCCCATCCAGGACCCTGATCTTGTTGTTGAGCCGATGTCTACTAGCAGTTCCTCTCAGGCAGCAAGACCATCAGCACAGCAAGCATCATCATCATCTTCGTCAACTTCACATGACCAGTCACGACCCCGTAATGCAGGTATTTAACTTTCTTTTTCTCCATCAATACATGGAAAAGAGTTAAAAAGTTTCCTTTATAAGTTAAGGAATGAGGATTCAAGCAACTCTGTATTTTTCTTATACTCTTAAGTCAAATCTGATTTTGATATTCTCAGATGCATCATTATTGAGATCAATTTGATTCACTCTGCAGGGTCAACTGGAAGAACATCTGGTGCATCTACAACACAAACTCCTAGTGCAACATCTCTGCGATGGGATCGGCAAACTATACAGTTCTCAGTCAATGCTTGGGTAGTTGATTCTCTGTATAGCATAGTGCTTGCTAAATGGTCTAACATCCTACGCAAGTTGCTAACTTATTAAATCTTTCTGTCAGGTCTTGGTTGTGGCAGTTCTTGCTATTTTTCCACTTGTGCCAAGGGATCTATCCATGAGGGCATTTCGGTTAGCCTTCGTAGGGACTGCTTGCTCGTCCCTATATTCATTGTACTCATTATATGGGGTAGTTTTTCAGCTTTGATATTTTCAAATATTTAATTTTGAAGTTAATGCATTTTAGTTTTTCTATGATGCTGCTTCTCTAAATCGTTATGGTATTCAGAAACCCAGAGCATGGAATATGCAAGCGGTGCAAGTGTGGTTTCAGTCAGTATTTGTCGGCAAGGATTTTATTTACTTCATTTACTGCTTGACATTCGTCACCTCAAATCTTTACCTCAAGTGTAAAACCACTTTCATTTGCATTGTTAGTTCTTCCTTTTCTGCTTTGGATGGATAATGTGGCACCATGGAGTGTACTTATGCTCTGTCTCTTCCTCTTTTTTTCTGTTTTCTCAGTTGCTTTGATTCCAGTATTAAGCCGAGCGCTTGAGCATGTTGCCAAGTTCCTGAGGCGAAATTTTAGCCGATCAACCTTGTATAGGTACAAAAATATCTCCCTGGTCTTCCTCCCCTCCCACCCTTCTCCTCTTCCAAGGGGGAAAATTGGCTAAGAAATTGCATATGGAAATGTAAAGTTAGGATGAAGTGTGTTAACATTCGCTAGGGTCTGAAAGAGAATGATCTTTCCTTTCCTCAGGAGAATCATTCCTTTCATAAAGACTTTTTAATGCAACAATGTTACACTTTCAGTAGTTGTATGTGACTTAGTTTATTGGATTGCTTGTAGGAAATACTTGGAAGATGCTTGTGTTTGGGTTGAGTCAAACACAACAACCCTTAATATCCTGTCCTCACAAGCTGAAATTGGCAATGGCTTCCTTCTTATTGTTTCACTTATCTCGTGAGTATCTCATCACATTTCCCTTTTTCATGTTGGCATAAGCTTCCATTGGGTTTTGCTTGCATTACATTATGTGAGTATTGTTTCATTTCCCTGGTGACTGATACATGCAATTTGGACATGCAGGTGGCAGCGCAATATAATACAAGCATTCATGTACTGGCAGGTTAGTCTCATTTCTCTCATCTCATCCTGCGAATAACTTTGGGTTACGTTCTTGGGGAAGTCCAGTGTCTTAATAGCTACTCAAGTTTGGAATTCTTAATAAGAGCAGCCAGCTATAAATACTGAGCTACAGATCTCTTTAACTTGAGTGATCAATTGTAGCCACCCTCCTCCCTCCAAATGAAAGAAGAGGGTACCAGTTTAATAATTTGAGAGAGGCTTACTTGTTAGAGTGCTTTATTTGCTTAGTCTTGGATTTGGATTTGTCTCTAGAATCAGGGATCTGGTTGTGTAGGTGAATTTCATGACGTTATAGCGCATTTAGGACTGTTGGATACGTGCAAGATACAGAGTGTGGCCTTACCGAATATGCATATACTAAACCTACTACAGATGCTGTACTTTTTGATGAGGAATATTCTTCAAGCTATGTTTTAATGTGATCTGGCAGACTAGTTAATGCCCTAATGTCCAGCTATAGTCTACTTCAAGTACTGCAGAAATTCTTGTTGTTTGGGTGGGGGAGAGGTGATTGCTGTGTTTTAGTTGTATTCTGTTGGGTTTGAAATCTTTTGTTGTAGTTTGAGAGTCTGAATATGATTTTCAAATTCATTCTGGGCCTACTTGAGTTTGAGAAATAAGATGAAGTCGCCGATAGGACATTACTGATTTTAATTTAGCTGGTGGTCAGTAGTATTATTTAATGTTGCTTCCTTCTTTAATCATAGTTTTGTGGACGATGTGAATATCTTTGAACTCTCTTTGTTGCAGCTTCTAAAGCTCATGTATCATGCTCCTGCAACTGGCAATTACCACCGAAGTGCTTGGGCTAAGATTGGGAGGACTGTAAATCCACTCATCCATCGCTATGCACCATTCTTGAATACCCCTATTTCTGCTATCCAGAGATGGTGGTTCAGGTAGAAGCATCGAGACCAGAAGCGGAAAATGCAAGACAATAATGGGGCTACTCTCAATGTTTTGTCAGGGAAGAAAGATGCAGCTTTAGATATCTCATTGAGCTTCCACGTTCCATTAAAAAGTTTACCCATAACCAGATATGCTACTTTTCGTATATCCAGAGGAATGTAAACTCCCATTATAAGCAGAATTTTGTCTAATTTTTCCATCTTACTATGTATTCTCATCTTTGACCTCCTTTAATCATTTCTATGAAAGTGACGTGAGGTTTATGAATAGATTGTTTGGTTGCCAATGGCTTGATGGTCTGCATTTACATGAATACCATTTGAGAAGGTTGTGCTTGTTAAGGACACGGTGGTTCTACGACGAGCCTAGGAACAATTATGCAATGCACTGGGTAGTCGTGGCTGGTATTTTTAATTGGGAGCTTGCTATTACGAGCTGTGTGAAGAATTTGCTCATGTTAATTGTTGCTTCTTCCGCCGCCCCCCCGGGGGGGGGAGGGGGGAGACCTACATTGCTTCCTGTAGAGACGGTTTTTTCTCTGTATTCTGGCATTTCCTGCAAGGTCGTCAGGCGGGCCTGTGAGGTTGACGATGGATCAGCTGAGATGAGCCGCGTGGGTTTCTGCATTACAGCTCAAGGAGTGGTGGTCCACTACTACTGTAGTGATAAGTTGATCGAGTTCCTACATAGTACACTTAAAAAGGGACGAGGAATGGTAGTTATGACAAGTAAACTGCACGAAGCTAGAATGGCGGTTGCCTTGTCTTTATCAGCATGGGACCAAATTAGTGTGGTGGCTTTGCCTCGTTCGTTGGACCAAATTGGACACCGCACACATGTATCTGCTTAGCCATTTGGGGAATCTAACGGAAAGCGATTAAGGATTGTGTTCTGGTGGCGGTGACGTAAACGCCACCACACTAATTGTGTTCCATAAAAGTCTGAGATGGTGATGGGTGAATCCCAAGCGTAACTTCTGCTTGCTTCCACGAAAGGCGCCGCGGGGGGTTTTACCGACCCCTTATTATACTCTTCGTGCTTTTCTAGTAATTAATGTGAATACCCGTGCTACGTACGGTGCCTACATTATTAAAAAAAAATTACAATCTATGGAAGAATTTAAAAATAGTAAAATATTATAATCACGGACACATGAAAGTATATTTAAAAAAAATGAAACTTTGTAACAATAGTTCAATATATGATAAAAACATTTCCATTATTTATAAACGATCATTTCGATGAAGGTTGGATCCTGAAAAAAAAAATAGAAATCTATATCATAAATTGAGCGACATAAGGGTCCAATTAAATATAATTGAATATTTAATTTGATAAGTAAATGAAATACTTACAGACATTTTGCCTTTGATTTGATAATCTTCTACGAAGGTGTAAACATTCTTCACACCAGTCAACTCTGAGTACGAACGCCAGTATTGGAGATTTAATTAATTCTGTTGTTTTTTGTGGAGTTCGCACTATAAATGAGAATGCACGATTTTTGCATGAATTAATGTGTTGGTCGAACAATGCACCTCCACTTTTCTGACAATTAAAAGCATACATAGTTCAAAATTATCTTTTGTTTTAGACAGTTTGTAAATAATATTGTGTAAAAAAATATACATATAAATAATGTATACCTTTGTTTTTAAATCTCTAAGATAAGAAGCATCACAACGAAACATGAATCGTGCATGCCTGTCTTGAAGAGCGAGGTACAGGTTATTACTGAAATCTCTAACTTCTATGTTAACATTGCATCTGTTAAAGTGTTAACTTCTATGTTATCACTGAGATGGTGATGGGTGAATCCCAAGCGTAACTTCTGCTTGCTTCCACGAAAGGCGTCGCTTGGGGTTTTACCGACCCCTTATTATACTCTTCGTGCTTTTCTAGTAACTAGTGTGAATACCTATATTATATATACGGTGGTGACATTATTGAAATAAAAAAAATTAAAAGAAAGGGTGAATTGAAAAAAAGTAAAAAAAAAAGAATTGTAACACAATTAAAATCTAAAATTTGTCTAGCAATAATTTGAAGTATGATAAAATGTACACGTCATTTAAGACGACAAAAGGAGAAGTGATACAGATTATTGAATTAAAATAAATCAAAAATTGTAATAAAAAGGGATTCAAATTTGTGAAGTTTATGGAGGCTACTCATAAAAAATCTGTTCTCTAATACATGCCCGATATATAGATATAGATATAGATGGTCCTGTTATTTTTTCAAATTTTTATAAAAAATGTGCTGTATTGATTTCAATTTAATTTAATACATACACGTAAGATAAATAGGTGAAACTGTTTGAATTGAACAATTACGTACGATGTCGAGCAGCAGTGGTGGTGGGGGATTTGTGTATTTGTAGTAAACAGAGGCTCTGTTTGGATTGTAAATTATTTGAGATATTTTTACTGTAGCACTTTTTGTGATGTGATGTATGTGAGATAAAAAGTTAATTGAAAATGTAAAAAGGTGTGTTAAAAATTGTAATAATGATGTAAGCAAATAAATTTTGACAAATAATCCTCAATCCAGAGAGTAGTGTGAATGAGAAAAGCAATAATAATAGCACGAGGGGATGGCGTGAGGGGCTGCACTACCTTCAAATTCAATTGGACCATTGCCAGTCTCAACTCAACCTCTGCAAAACGCGTCCTTTTACCCTTTTTCTCTTCCTTTTCCTTTCCTTTCTTTTCTTTTCTTTTTTACCCCTCTTCTTCTACGTCGAGTAGTCGCCAAGGAGGAGGAGCGTAGTTAGCAGCAGAGCAGTTGTATTCTTGTCATAAGCAGGCACCATCCATCGGACAAAGAAACCTGCGAAAACAAATGCAGACAGCACAGCAATCCCCCCCCCCTCCCCGCTGGGCGGCATTATTTATTACGTGAATGAATGATAATTTGATTGCTTGATCCTGACGCCGCTGCAGAAACACTTGTGAGTGCTCCGAGTCCCCACATAACATTCTGCCCTGCGTTGTTTACTCCAAGCAACTCTCTCTGCTTCTCTGTCTGACGCCAGAGAAAAGGCAACTCGTGCAAGCGAAGCGACTCTTCCTTTATAAACTAGTAATTTTCCTATTAATATCACAGATCCACAGACACAAGAAAAAAGAACAAGGATCACGTTCTGCAACCCCGAATTATAGTAGTAGTATAATATAGTCGCCCAGGATCAGGATCATGGCCACCACCTCTGCCAGTCTTCCCTCAAGCAAGTCTTGCGATGCTATAAAGCAAATGGAGATTGAGCCCCTGTGTTCTCCTACTGGTTCCACCTCTTCTACCCTCGACCACCTCCACCCCAGGCGGAGACCCATAAAGAAGCCCTTGTCAGCGCCAGCGCGTCAACAATCCTTTAGCCGTGAAATGCGCCACGCCGCCGCCGAGACTTATCTGCTCACCACCCTCAGCTTCAAGCTTCTTTCTTACCTCGGGTAAGCTTACCCGCTTCTCCGGCTGACTATTGTATGACCAGTATCCACTTTCTCAATTCTTCCTCGTTTTCCCTCTCCTGATAGCTAGAACATAGCCCTTGTTGATTTTTTTTTCTTTTTTCCCCCAATCTACTTGTCTTTTATAGTAGTTCGAGAGCAGCCGATTTTCGAAATGTGTCATCGTGTTAGATGCGAACGCTTTCGAAGGCTTTGTCGTATTTGGAGAGTTTAAGAAGATGATGCTTTTTTGCGATGTAAGATTGGGGACTTTGGGATTTCTGGTACACCTATGCAACAATTCAAGTCTTTTCACGAGTTTGTATCAGCAGTAATTGATAACTGAAACACTTGGTAGTTTGAAGCAGGACGAGATGCCAAATAGATGGATGCAATTTGATTGAGGAACGCAATGATAGAGGAGAAAGTGTGTCGAAGTTACGTAGCTGAAAATGGACTAAACTATCGAAAGAAATGTGTATGACTTCTTCAATACTTTTAGCGCTTGTCCAGAAAAATCAGTTGATATGGTTAAACAAAATCGTAAAGTTCTAGATGCATGCCTATAGGGAGCGTCGCAGATTTCGTATTTGCATTTGAAAAACTAATTCCACTTACGTTATATATATATATATATATATATATTAGACACAACTGAGTCGAACTAAATAGTACAGGATATATGTAAGAGGTGGTAAATTGGTGTTTGCATACTGGAGAGGTCCCTTGTATAATTTTACATAGTGTTGGGATTTATTTCACAGAGAAAGCAAACGCGTATTTCATTTTGGAAAAGCAACTTGTTCATTGGTGTTCTCAAATCATTTCTAATATGAATATTGCAGGCCTGAAAACTCTATATCTGTTTTAACCAGATGATTTTCTGGTAATCTATACTATAAAATTTGATGCTGGTTTCTATATTGTTTCTGATCATATGTTTTATACAGGGTGGGCTACCGGTGGATCATGAGACTCATAGCTCTTGGGATTTATGCCATGTTACTCATGCCAGGATTTCTCCAAGGTAACCATGAAGTGCACCCCGCACAGACACTTGTTTCCTATGACACACTCGTGTCTCCTTTTTCTGTTTTCAGGTGCAAAGTGCTTGAGCAAATTCATCACTCCCTTATGCTTATCAGTAATTTAAAATTCAAAAATGACATGAATTTTGAATTCTTTATAGATATATAAGATCGTTAACTATTGATGACTGTTAAAAATTGTACGGGCCAAAATATACATGCACACACACACATATATGCATATATACATATATATTCATACACACGTCTATATATATGTGTGTAGGTATGTATGTATGTATTTTGGTGTATACTGCATCACATGAAAGGTTCTTCTCTTTTATTTCTTGTTCAATGAATGATTTAAGCTCAAAAAGAGTTATCTGGAACCTCCATGGTGTTTCTCTTCATTGACTGGGGCCACATGTTTCTTCTGCTAGCAGAATTGCATAGAAAGTGTTTATAGTTCCATGAATACGATGTGCACAGTTCAATCTGAGATAAGGGGACGTAGTTGTGAACTAAGAGAAGTATAACTTATGTCCTTACTTTGCAGTTGTATTTTATTATTACTTTTCAAGCCAAGTTCGTCGAAGTGTCATTTATGGAGATCAACCAAGAAACAGGTAATAATGCACATGTTCAAACTTGTTTGCTATATTTTCTGATCTAAAGTATCAAACCATGCCCATTAAGATGCCAACATTTCACAGGCTGGATCTACATCTGCCTCCAAGACAAGATTGCAAAAAACCTGTTGTGATATTTGTGACTGGTGGAGCCTGGATCATAGGGTGAGTAAGGATTCTCTAACTTTTGCTCTTTGTATATATTGTTTCTTTATTCCCTGCCAAGCTCTACCTTCTATAGTTTCTATATTCTTTCTTTTATATCTATTACATCTATGCCCTCTATATTTACGTAAGGCTGAAAATATGGAATTTAGAATTACCATAATTGAGACTTGAGATCAGAGCTGCCTATGCACACAGATGGACCATTTCTTGGCGATAGGTATAGCGATCAGGGCAATTCTTCATGAAATCTAGTCACCGGATCAAGTGGCCTAATTCTTTTATTATCTTTTTTTTTTTTAAATATCAGTAAGGTTCATTGAGGCTTATCAGAGTTCACGACCTTTATCTTCCTGTATGTTGAAGATGGCTAAGTGAAAGAAAAAAGGGCCCCTTTGCATACCCTACATGTTGATAGTTTGTTCATTGGTAAAGCTATAATTTTTAATTGGCCAAAAGAAGGCATTTTTATCCTTATTTTATGCATGCAGATACAAAGCATGGGGTTCTCTCCTAGGGCAGCAATTAGCTGAAAGAGACATCATTGTAGCATCCCTGGATTATAGGTAATTTACTTACCTGAAGCTTCATGCATAGTGCAGGATAGATACTTTTACCCCTGAATTAATTGTTTAAAATATTTTTATGCAAGAATTATATCCATTAAGGAACCAAAATCTTTATGCATTTGAAGAACTGGACAAGTATTTATGGTTGATTTTCCGGTGTGTACTTTCTGCATTACTATTATTGTGCCTCTGGGCTCACAACTTATGCTTCCCAATTAATAGTTTTTCAAACATATCAATACCTCTTATGAACTTCTATTTTAGTGTCTTTCTTTATCATTCGTACATACCTATGTTCTGTTTCTATGGTTTATCTGTAATTCAGGCCGATAGCAGTTATAAACAATACTGTTACTTAATGTTCATCACATTTCTGTCCTGCGTGCAGAAATTTTCCTCAGGGGACAATCAGTGATATGGTTAAAGATGTTTCTCAAGGAATAGCTTTTGTTTGCAACAATATCAGTGGTTATGGGGGTGATCCAAACAGGTTATTTGTCTATTTATAAGTTTCTTTGGTTGCAATTACAGATGAATTCTTTTAGATGGAGTTCTTTTAGTCGCCTATGTCTTTTTTCTCATCTTACATCTCATGTGCATTACCTTTCTGTTCAGGATTTATCTAATGGGCCAATCAGCTGGTGCACATATAACTGCATGTGCTCTTATGGATCAGGCATTCAAAGAATCTAGAGGAGAGGACGTTGCATGGTCTGTCTCCCAGATAAAAGCTTATTTTGGCTTATCAGGGGGGTAAGCATCATTCATCATATTTATGGGTCAAACAACATCTGCCGCCCTACTTCCCCATAAATGTAGATGCTGATATCATATTTTGGTTTCTAAATCCTTGTTTTGGTTACTTTTTTCTCTCTCTCTCTCTCTCTCTCTCTCTCTCTAATACAAACAATTTAAATCTTTTTAACACACATGTACGTACACTTTTTCTCCTTTAGCTAGTTGGCATTACTGTTATCATTGTATGCATGCTAGTTGGTATTGTGTTGACAGGTACAATCTACCCAACTTAGTTGATCATTTCCATTCTCGAGGCCTGTACCGCTCCATCTTTCTGAGGTTTGTTTAAGTGATATGTCTTAAATGGTTGTAAAAGTACTTATATTTTAGTTATCACCTCTCTTGCTCTGTAAAGTTGATATTTGGTGTTTTCAAATTTGCAGTATAATGGAGGGGGAGCAATCCTTGAAACAATTTTCACCTGAAATTCTTGTTCAGGTCTTGAGCTCAAAAGATGTAGTCTCTATACTGCCCCAGATATTCCTTTTTCATGGCACTTCAGATAGTTCCATACCATCAGATGCAAGGTTTGTTACCTTTTTTAAATAGCAGTAAACTGTCTTTGGTTTTTTAAACACGATATGTACATCCTTCTGAAGCAACAGCTTACTAATTGATGAAATAATAAATAAATCATTCTAGAAAAGGAGTGTTAGAAGTACATATTTCCTCTGGTGCAAGTCAACTGGTGATAATGCTAATTCTTTTAATAATATCCTCTCTTCAAAGGAGCTCTTGGTCTGCCCAGTTATAGTCTCTTACCCCCTTAATTATTTAGTGTTGATAGAACTTGGGGCGGTTAACATGATTTTTGGGTGCCCATTGAAGGAATTTGTGCCAAAAACCTTGCATAGAAGTTCTGCTGCTTGATCTTTTTAATTCTTGTCATTGATGTGAAATTTTTGCAGTAGTATAATGTAGCCAAGAATATTGAACCAGAGTGGAGTAACAGTTCTTAATAAGTTGAGTTCAGTGTATCTGGATTAATTTGTTTGCCTCTGCAGTAAAGCATTTGTAGATGCTCTTAAGAGAGTTGGGGCTCAGGCTGAGTTGATTTTATACGATGGAAAAACGCATACCGATTTGTTTCTCCAGGTATGTGATATCTGAGATTGATCTTATCATCTGTTCATGTTCATTTAGTTAGTGTGATTTATAGATCATGATAGGAGTCAAAAAGTGGACAGGATGGAATAGAATCTATATCATGAGTGGGCAAGGACTTGTGTAACATATTCATGAGTGGAATTTTCTTCTGTTTAATTGTGCATGTTTTCCAGCTTTTTGGTTATAGGAGCCTTTCGGTTTATTTGACCAATCAATGAAAATTAAGCTATGGATGATTCTAGGGTTCAGGTTGTGATTTTGGAGGAAAGTTAAAAGAATGGAAATAGTAAATGAAAGTCATCAATAAGTAGAAACTGGTTTTTAGCTAATCTCAACTGAAGCTACTAGCGCTTTTATTTGCATACTTACAGAAGCTAGCTGACGTGGCAAAGGAGGATGTTTTTGTGTATGTTGTTCTGCTGTTCAACATGTCAAAGGTGTATTGGAGAAGTGTTCGTCTTTAGCATAAATTGTTCTTAACAAGACATGAAGAAAGAAATAAGAAAAGCTGAAGTGAAACTAAAGTTGCTTGAAGATCAAAAAGGCTAGCTTTCAGAAAATATTAGGATTTGAGTCTAAAACAAAACAATATGTTCATTTACTACTTCAAATGGTGCGACTGTTTTGTGTCATATCGTCTGAACAGTGGAATTAGCATAATGAAACAATTCTACAGTAGTGAAATGGCATTTCCTATCGCAGCCTGATTGTGTGTCTCAACATACAGGATCCTCTCAGAGGTGGTAAAGATGAACTGTTTGACTATGTGGTTGCCTTTATACACGCCGATGACACAGAAGCTCTTGCTAAGGATGCTGCGGCACGTCCAAGGAGACGGCTTGTTCCTGAGATTTTGTTGAAGTTGGCGCGCATTGTCAGCCCCTTTTAATCCTTCCAGCTGCATTATATAGTAGACCTTCATGTCTGCGTGACTGAGAAGAAAGTGGCTTCCTCCTCAAATTTCTGTTGGAGTTGGCTCCCATTCAAAGCCTTTATTTTAAAAGGCTGCCTAGGACGATGATCAATGATTTCATTTGTTAATGTCCATTTCTAGGTATTGATCATTCGCTGATATTCTACTATGCATCTGCGTTCTTTAAATTGTATCTATAGTATATCTTTTTTTTTTTTTGTTTTTTTGGGCTTGACATTGCGGTATTCGGTATGAACCGTCCAACAGAAACTGAAGGAGAAATATATATACATTCATTCTTGTATGAACTTCAGAAGACTGCCCTTATAATGGAGATTTACACTTGCAGAATTGTTGTACGTGTGTGTCAATAACTTTACCTCCTGAACGTGAAGTCATTTATTTGTTTAGTCATTTATTTTGTTCTTTTTTCAAAAAATCTAAAAGGGAAAAAAATGAAAAATTAAAAGAAAGGAGGAAAGCAAGTACCGTGCCCAATATCTTTAAAAAAAAAAAAATTTGGAAGGGAAAAACTACTACAAGTTAATATCGTAGCATGTCCAATGGTCAAATGCAATAAATCTAGCTTAAATGATGGCAATCGTCAAATGCAGTAAATCTAGTTTGAATAATGGCAAACTTGTTAACTTGTCGGGGAAGTTGGGTTGAATGATAAGGGGTTTGTTTGGATACCCATATTATTCCAAATAATATTTTGCTTGCATCATAAACACATTTTCCAACTTACCTTTTTATATCCCAATTATCTTTTTATTTCAGATACATCACATCATAAAAAATGCTACAGTAATTATACACTATCCAAACACACTCAAAGTAAGTTGGGTTGCTCAAAAAAATACGATGGCAAACACGGTCCAAGTAGCAGTTTTCTCCCACCACTGTTGGGGCCGTTAAAGCAATACATGGTCGTCTCCTCTGTTTCAAATTGCCAAATTGCGTGTTTTGTAAGTGGAGGATGTCTTTGCAGGCTCAGTTGTCTCTGATGCTAGTAGTCGTGTCTATTGGATCTGCCTTCGTTGTGTCCTATGAGCAATTTCAGAAATTCCCGGTTTCGCCACAATCATTCACAGGTCCTCCTCTTCATCCCTCCAGAATTCTCGTTAATGATAATGTCGTCATTTAGGAAGTGTTGTGATGGAGAAGGTTCAGACTTTAAACTGGCTTGATACTTTTCTCGAATGCACTGTTGGTTTTACATTTTCTTTTCTTATTTTCCCCAGCACAAGAGCCCCTCAAGAAACCTGCTCGCAGGCTTGCCAAACCATTGATAGGGGATGACGGGCGGGTATATGCCTGTTCGGAGAAAACATTCTATTCTTTCCATAAAAATGGTTCCATTGCTTGGACAATAACTCTCAACTACTCATGCAATTCGCATATAGCTCCAGAGCACGGTGGGTCAAGAAAGGCAAGTTTTTTTGCTCAACATACGACTCAATTGTTTTGCTTTTGTTCCTTTTTTACATGTTATGGACAGAATATCAGCCTTCAAGTGCCTACAAATTTTCGAACTTGTGTAATATGAGCTTCCTCCGGCACATTGCATTGCTTTCAAACGTGATGTGTATGTGTGTATGTGGCCTTTTTTTTTGGGGTATGTCCATTATGTATTGATATTAGACGCCCTTTTGTTGGCAGATATATTTGGTTGCAGAAAACAGAGTTCTAAAAATCAATCCTTTGAATAATGATCCTTATTCTACTGTACAAGAGTTCTTTGGCCCAGAACCGGGGGAAATTATTGGCCTCGCTGTAAGCGTATCGAGTTCATGTGTTATCATCAATGTCAGAAACAGGGGGCTTTTTGCATATAGATTGCAGGGACAACTGCTCTGGACTGCTGGCCCTGTACTTTATCAACACGGATATCGTCAAGGTTGTAGGAAAAACATTTCAGACTGTTACTTTTCATCTAACCCCGTGATTGATCATTGTGAAGCTAATATATATGTAAGATTCAGGGATCCTTATGAGCTTTCTTAATCATCCATCGGCTATATTACTTAAGATAGGCTTGCTTTTGTCCAAAACCTCTGTAAAAAGGCAAATTTTACTCGTGAAGAACCAAGTAATCGTGCTCTCATGACTCTGATTTTAATTCTTTGGCTGAATAGTTTTACATGTCTTGCTGTTTTCACTGACCAGGGAAACAATTCCTCTGGAAATGTCTCTTCCAAATTATTTTAGTTATTGGTTGAATATAACTACATTCAGTAGATATTGACTGAACCTCTTCCTTTGTTCAATTTATGACATTAAATTTGACTAGATTTTCGGACAAGACAAAGGATTGTGGATGCTTAATGTACGCAAGATTTTTACTCCAATCTGTTGTTACCTTGCAGATCTCAAATACTGAAGGAGAGCTGTATGCATTATCAGTACGCAGTCCTCATTTCAAATGGATCCAGGATCTTAGTTCATTTGACACGAGATTTACAGTCACCCCTGCAAACAATGGCCTCTTGTATGTTACTCTCCCTGATCGAGCTCTACTGCTGGCACTAGATGTTTACACGGGAAGTATTCTGTGGCAGGGAAGCACTGGGCCTCTAAGCTCAGAAGATTATGCACCGGCTGTTGATTCCAATGGTAATGTAAATTTCATGCATATAACTTAGTAGCAATTAAATGCTAAAAGACTACAATTCAGGCTCTAAAAATTGTACTATAGATTCCAGTTTTCCTCTCAAAAGCGCTGACAGCACATTCTGAAACAGTTTGTGAGAAGAATTTCAATTATAGTTTGAGAACTTAACAATTAACAAGAAGTTTGAAGATATACTGGTGGAACTAGTGCTTTTGAAGGCTATTTTTGAAGTATGCAGTTGGTGTTCACATGTTAGGGAGTAAATCTGAAGTTACTGCTAATGATTGCTTCATCACCGCTTAGAAGATGCTGATGTGATATCATCATTGTGTATTCTGCTGTGTTAAAGATGCAGATATGAACCAGCTAGCAGTACTTTTAGCACTATGCCGATAAAATTACTTATTGTTACTTCTATAATTCACAGGCTGGATATCCATCGGCTCACTGGATGGATTCCTGTACTCATTTTCACCAACAGGCTCACTTAAGAAATTTCCTGAAGTGGCTAATCCAAGTTTCATCATCCAAGTTAGTCCTATCATTGATTGCTCTGGGTATGGAGTTTATGTGTCTCAGACAGAGATGGAGGGAAAAGTTGGCCACACGATTGGAGATTATAATTTCATCTCAGCCTCGAAACCAAAAAGTGTTCTGTTTACAAGAATTGTTCCAGCTACCGGTGCCGTTGACTGGTTCGAGAGCTACCCTCCGGGTAATCTTTTTGTTTGTGCACTGGACTTCTCACCCTAACACTTGTTGGTTAATTTCAAGTTAACTGTTTCTAACACGTCCTAAACATTGGAATCTAGACCTAGTAAACAGGATACATTCTCTTTGCAGTAATTCACCTTTCAATTTGAGATGGGATTCTTTTTCTGACTTGCTGAGCTTCTAATGTTAATTGCTATATCTGTTGTTGATTGCTGTCACAGGTCAATTTTCATACAAGCTCTCTCAGAGTGATTTGCAGCAATTCAAGCTGGATGAGAGTATCATTCTCTATTTCTTTGCAGCTTCAAGTGAGCTTTATTGATCATTGATTTTCTTTTTGATTAGTTTTAGGGACACAGTCTATAAATGTGGTGGTTGAAAGTTGAAACTGCAGAATTATATTTTCAGTTGGGTTCCTTCAAACACCCGCACTCTGTTGGCACTATAGAAGGGCATTGAGTGGAGAGATGATCTTTTTGGAACTAACCAGTTATTTAATAAAGTAGACAAGTTGAATGAAGCCTTTTGAGCCTTGGAATCATGGTTCCCAAACACCTGAGTCTCTATTATGGCAACAACAGATTTCCTCGGTGAAAAGAATGTACTATTTCTTTTGAATTAAGACCGTAGAGGTTACATCAGTTCAAGATATCTTAAAAAGAATCACTCCATTTTCCAATTATTACTATTTTTCCCTTAGATCAGTAGATTGTCAGGTTTATCCCTCTATTCTCAAGTTTGAAGTTGGAAGTCGAGTACTGGTTCCCTAATTTTTTATGGAATTCTTGCTTGTAACCATTTGTTCTCATATAACCTAACTCAATTTGAAATGTGAACATCTATTTTTTGGTTTTGATGCAGGTATTGGAAACTCATTGCCCTGTCGCACCACACGTAATGATCTCTCACTGCACCAATTAATTGTTATTCTCACAACTTGGGAGGAAATATCAAATATGTGATGATAGTTGCATTCAATGATGTTCTTGGTCACGGTTAGAAATTCATTTTTACCTTTCCAGGTCAGAAGTTCGCCTCCAGCTGCTCACAAGCTAGTGCCAAGAACATCAGCATCTATACAGGTGATTTCCGAATATTTTAGCGATATCGACAATTCAAATAGCTTAAACTGCCTGCGTTTTCCTTTTCTCAGGCAATGAGAAGACGATTATGTTACTTTTGTTGCTTGAAACTACAATAATGGTTACACTAGCAGCACTGGTACGATATTGCTGCGTATTTTGGAAGAAAAGGAAGCTTCAAAGTCAAGGTCTTGGAAAATTCCTGGAGAAGAGAGTAAGTGAATTCCTTTCTTTGCTCGCAAGGCAAGATTAAAGTAGCAGTAGTGGTTAAAATTACTACTCTCTTTCTTGAGTCATATTATGAGAGATATTAACCAAAAAAGACTCCCCAACTTTTGTTGGCAAATATCCAACCTAAAGCACCACTGTCCTTTAGAAAAATTATTGTCATTGGCACAATATTGAAAACTTAGAAATGTCTTGCACCTTCACTACTTTCGCTTTTTGCGGTAACATATTTGGGCCTTTTCAATCCAGCATTCTCTTAGGCTCCAGAAGAAAGCATTTGATAGGAGTATTACAGAACTTGAGCAGAAAGCTGCAGAGGAAGCTGTACCCAATGAAGTGCTGGAACAGCTGAGCGTTTTGGTAAAAGAAAGGGAAGGCATACAAAGGAAGCTCTCAACAACATATAGTTTGGGAAGGGATGGAGCTGGTTTGCAACCAAAACCTGTCCTCCCTTTGTCTAATGGGAAAGCAAGGAGCTATTCTTTCCAGGGTGCAACGAAAGAAAGTGTGACCATCTTTCACACATTCAGTGATACTGATACCTCGTCAGGTGGCAGCACTAAATTTGGGGCTGACGAGGATTTGCCTGAAGAAAAAGATTCAACAGTCAAGGGTAAGGGAAAAGCACCTGTTGAAGTACGGAGTTCAAGTGATAATGAGATTTATGAAAAGGATCACCGGATAAGTCCATCAATCTTAGCTTCAAGCTC